AAACTATCTAGATTGAAGCCATAAGACATATATGGATAATTTTGTTATACAGATGATATGCAGAGAGGTAGAGAACGAGTGACAAGTAGTCTATTGGATTCAATTGACATGGTTCAGATGCTACTTAAAAGTCTAGTAGTTCATCTTTGCCACCTACCTGTTCTAATCTGGGAGACACCAATAGAGCTCTGTCATAGAATTTGTCAAGTAAACTTACTGCTTCCCTCTTGAACTCCCTGCATGCGTCAACACACACCAATACACTCCACCAAAAACCTTTTAAATCTTTTAGTTCTCAGCATGTCCCTTATATTTCTGACTGATTCATCTTGGCTCATATCAGTTCCTTGTAGAAAAGGACACTGTGGAACAAATTGGTGGCAGTACTTTTTAAAAACTAGTTTTAGCCTGTACAGTGGGCCAGTTCCCTCAATTGATTAAAAAAAAACTCAAAACTCAGGTAGGTTGATGCTAGTTAGTGAATCAAATTCAGAGACTGGCAGACTGCTTTTTGGGTATAAAGGGATTTTTCAGTTTACTTCATGAAGATTTAACAGCATGAGCAGTATAAATATTCTTTGGAGTCAAATATGTATAGCTTGGAATGTTGGATTGGAGTGCCCAATACATAGGCTGATTCACATGCTCCAACACAATCACTTGTTCATGCACATCATGTAGACCATCATCATGCATCGCATCACCAAAACTGATCTTGTTGGGCCTTCTTAAGTGTAATGTCTATGAAGGGAACTTCCAATCATGATGCACACTTCTATGCTGGCAGTATCCTTCCATCTTTGTCTGGTCCTTTAACATAAATCTGCACACATTTAAAAAGTTAGTGTTCCGTCTGATGATCTGGTTCTTCATTATTTCTCCTAGTGCACCCTTGTGTGTGCCTTGAATCATGTATGAATTTCCCATTCAGGTGCCACAGGTTTTTACCACATACATTTATCCTATTATTCCATTTCTTCCTTACATTCACCATTCTTGGTTGGATGTAATTCATGCCTATTTTATTGACCATACAACTCCACTGAGGACTAAGGCATGCTTTATATGCACCCTGAAAGCACTTCTTCACTTCCTCTACTCATTTCTGCGTTTTTTTTACCTGTCCCCTGATTTGCATGATTAGCCTAGGACAACAAAACACCATATTACGACACCCGTTAATTTCCAATAGACCTGAAGGACGAAGGGTAATTTCATTGAATTGGATGAGGATGAAGGGTGGTAATCTCCATGAATTGCTAATGCATCATGTATAGATAAGATCCTGACCTTCTTAGTTCTCAGTCTAAACTATTCTCTTCTGTCATTAATCTCTCTGGAACATATAACATATTGCAAATTTTAGTATACATGAAATAGTATCTATCAACTAGCTGAGATGAAACCATCTCCTTTACTAAAGTACGTATGGTGGAACATGTTTGAATTTTGAAGAAGTAGTACTATTGAAGTTATTAAGGACCTTTGGAGGCAGACACATCTAACTGTTGCAACGACCAAGCATAGTGTGTTTCTCAAATGCTAGGCTTCCCTTGTTGTCTGAGCCCGAAAACTCTTACCAGGATGTTCTAGTAAATTACTACTTATGTCATTTTAACTTCGTAACAAAGTTAACTTTTTTACTTGGAGTTCGTAAGATTTGTTCTTGCGCATTGTGCATGAACTTGATAAAAATTAAAAGGTTTGTGCTGGGAAAGATGAAAAAAGTGTTGTGTGCATCACACATTCCAAATCCTAGTCAATTTTCAGTCACGTCATTGGTTCGGTAAGTTTTTGACAGTGTCTGAAGCACAAGCAAGATGCCTCATACTATAAGCTCTTAGTATCAGGTATAAATTACAAATTCCTTTTTACTACTGCTGACTTATTTTTCAGTAAGACTTCTAATATTAGAAAAAACAGCATAAACTTTATGTTTTTTTAATTATTTGACTGTTTTGCGAAAAACTTCTATTATTTTCCTTTCTTGATATTTTTTTTTTAAGGATTGTGTTAGACTTGTTTTTTAAATAGAATGCATTTTTATATTTTACAGGGAGAATATGAGGATACAGAAAACATATGGGCAAGTTCCCTTCTTCTTGCTATTTTGTTCCAGGAGCCATCTGCCGTCCAGTCCTCAGCCACTAAACTCACTATTCCTTCTCTAGTTTTTCTTCTGAAGACTCATGGAATTATGGAGAAATACTTTGCTGCTCAGGCAATAGCTAGCCTTGCTTGTATCGGAGGAAAAGGGATACAACTTGCTATTGCTAATTCAGGTGCTGTCAAAGGACTGGTAACTTTACTTGGTCATGTAGAGTCTGATATGCCAAACCTTGTTGCTTTGTCCAAAGAATTTAATCTGGTGCAAAGCCCTGAGCAAGTTGTTCTAGAGCAGCTATTTGAGATTGAAGATGTTAGAATCGGTGCAACTGCTCGTAAGTCTATACCCTTGTTAGTTGACCTTTTAAGACCAATGCCAGATAGACCAGGTGCACCTCCTGTCGCTGTTCGTCTTCTAACTCGAGTAGCAGAAGGAAACGAGGCAAACAAAATGGCTATGGCTGAAGCTGGTGCTCTCGATGCTTTGACTAAGTATCTATCTCTGAGCCCTCAAGATCCAACAGAAACCTCTATAACTGAACTTTTGGGTATCTTGTACCGCAACTCTGACCTGCTTCACCATGAAGTTTCACTTAGCTCATTGAATCAGTTAATAGCAGTTTTGCGTTTGGGTTCAAGGAATGCTCGGTTTAGTGCAGCCAGGACATTGCAGGAGCTCTTTGATGCTGAGAACATTAGAGATACTGAAATGGCCAGGCAAGCTATTCAGCCTTTAGTTGACATGCTTGATATTGGGTCTGAGAGGGAACAACAGGCTGCTCTTGGTGCACTGATCAAACTCACTGCTGGTAGTGTCTTAAAGGCATCGAGTTTGATTGATGCTGAAGGTAAGCCAGTTGAGAATCTCTACAGAATTTTGTCATTTAGTTCATCATTGGAACTTAAGACAAACGCTGCACAACTCTGCTATCTACTGTTTGGAAACTCAAATATCCGGGCTATGCCAACTGCTGCTGAGTTCATCCAGCCCTTAGTATCACTTATGACGTCATACTCAGATGAGGCAGTAGAATCTGGCGTGCTAGCTTTAGAGAGGTTACTGGAAGAAGAACACTATGCAGATGTTGCAGCAACATATGAAGTCGTCAATCTTCTTGTTGGGTTTACTTCTGGGTCAAATTATAAACTTTCAGAGGCCAGTATCAGTGCACTTGTAAAGTTGGGAAAGGACCGACCTCAATGCAAGCTTGATATGATCAAAGCTGGAATAATCAATAATGCACTCGAAATGCTCCTTATAGCACCTGGTCCAGTTTGTTCTAAAATTGCAGATCTTCTTCGCATTTTAACCAACAATGATGGTATTGCTAAAAGCTCAGATGCTGCAAGAATTGTTGAGCCTCTTTTTATGCTATTGCAACGACCAGATTTTACCATGTGGGGACAACAAAGTGCCTTGGGAGCACTTGTTAATATTTTGGAAAAACCGCAAAGTCTGGCATCCTTAAAGCTAAGTCCAAGCGAAATCATTGGACCTCTAATATCGTTCCTCGAGTCCCCTTCGCAGTCTATCCAAGAGCTAGGCACCGAA